GACTTGGAGGGGGGAAAAGTGGGGGGGGCAGAGCCCTGGCTTAACCCCATGGGTGCCGGTGTCCCCGCAGGCAGCCTGCCAGCCCTGGTGTCACAGCATGCCATCACCCCCATCTCACTGCCCTGCCGCCTGCGCATCCCCAGCAAAGGTAGGGACACAGAGGACCCTGCCCAGCCTGCGGAGCATGACCCACTCCATGGGCACCACGAGGGCAGGGAGCTAGGGGTTTGCACCCCCACACCCCACCCCCGGGGTCATATCGACTGGGGTCACTCCAGGCCTCCTGCTCCCGGCACTGTCCTTGGGCTGCCCACCCCACATGGGGATGGGATCCAGGAGTCCTGGCTCCCTCAGCCACTGGCGCCCTGTCTCCCTCTCAGACCCCACGGAGGAGAGCCCGGAGGTGGCCGTCCCTGCCAACATGAGCACGGCCGCCGACCTGCTGCGACAGGGGGCAGGTAGGTACCTGCAGCAGGGGCTGAGAGGCCATGCCACGCTCAGCCCAGAGCTGGCCCGGTGCATTCAGCTCCAGCTGGACCCCAGGGGCCAAGCAGGGTCCGGCCACCCCTGTGACCCGGTGCCGCCCGCAGCCTGCAGCGTGCTCTACCTCAGCTCGGTGGAGACTGAGTCGCTGACTGGGCCACAGGCCGTGGCCAAGGCGGCCAGCAGCACCCTGGCCTGCAACCCGCGCCCACCCGCCGCTCCCGTGCACTTCAAGGTCTCGGCCCAGGGCATCACCCTCACTGACAGCCAGCGCAAGTGAGTGCCGCGCTGCATCCGCGCCACCCCCCGGCCCTGCCCGGACCCCTGCGCTCAACCCCCTCCCCTGTGCTTGGCCCGCAGGCTCTTCTTCCGGCGCCACTACCCTGTCAGCAGCGTCACCTACTGCAGCACCGACCCGCAGGACAGGAGGTACCGACCCCACCCCCTGCAGTGCCCCCTGCTGCCCGGCTGGGAGCTGCTGCACCCCCCGTGCCCTCCCGGGGACGCCCAAGTTTGGGACACTGTGACTCATGAGTGCCCCCCACCTCGTTTCTCTGCAGATGGACAAACCCAGACGGCACCACCTCCAAGTGAGTGCAGGGGGGGGTGGGGGCAGGACAGGGTCTCTTCGCCCTCCCCCAGCCTGGCGCCTGCAGGGCTGTGCTCAGAGCCTCCCTCTCCAGCTCTAGGGCAGGGGGTGATGCAGTGCCAGCCGCACCCCCCCAGAAGCAGCCGCATTCACTCCTGGCAGCAGTTGTCACTCCAGGATGTGCGCAAGCTGCTCTGGGGCCGAAATGCGGTTGCCTCTGGGATGGGACATGGGCATTGTCACAGGGTCACCTGGAAATGCAGCTGCTTCTGGGGTGGGACACAGCTCGTTCTATGGGACAAGAACCAGGACCCAGCTGCAGGGAGGGCTGGAAGGGGGCAGGCACCAGCCCAGAGGAGTGTGGGGGGGGGGGGCACAGTGTCTGATGTTCTGACCACTCCCCACCCCCCAGGCTGTTTGGCTTCGTGGCCAAGAAGCAGGGCAGCCCCTGTGAGAACGTGTGCCACGTCTTCGCCGAGCTGGACCCTGAGCAGCCAGCCGCCGCCATTGTCAACTTCATCACCAAGGTCCTGCTGGGCCTGCACCGGAAGTGAGGGCCCCCCGCCCGGGGCAACCCGGACACCTGGGTCCTCTTTCTGGAGCACCTCCAGGCCCCTGGACAGCAGGCTCCCCCTGCCCCCCTTGCTGGAGGGAGCGGAGTGGGGCAGGGGATAGAGAGCCAAGCCTGACCCAGGGCACTAGCCCCACCTGCCCCTGCTCAGGGCTCCGGATGCTGCCACATCCCTCAAGGGACCGCAAAGCCAAAGGCCCCCGTCTGCAGGGACCCCCGGACAAAGTTGATGGAGTGGTGGAGGGGAGGCCGCATGGGGCAGTGGAGCTGGGAAAGGGGCCATCTCAGCCCCTGGCTGGGAGGGGGCCAGGGGCTGGCGGGGGGGCAACATGCGGAGACCGCTGCCCGGGCACCTGGGTTCTGTTCTCAGCTCAGTCCAGTCCAGGCCACAGCACGGGAGAGCTGGGGCGAGGGGTTGGCCACTAGGCACTAGGACTCCTGGGTTTTGTGCCCACCTCTCCCCCGCCTGACAGGCCATTAGCAAGCGCAGAGGGTCACCAGACAATCCAGCCCCCAGCAGACGGGGCCCACCTGCACACCATGCCCCACGCCTGGCCCTGGTTGGGCCCGTGTGGGGGGAGAGAAGAGACAAAAAGCCGTGTCCCCAGACTTCCTTGCCCTCCAGGACTAGGTGTACTTGGGATGTGTCCAGGAGGGGAGGGTGGGAAAGGTGGGAACAGAGCAGAGGGTCCTGGTGGGCCTGGCTCCTGGTGTGGGGCCAACACAGAGAACTCTATTTTTGTCTAATAAAGAATTTATATGAGCTTTAGTCAGAGGGAGCAGTAATATATATGGGGCAGCAGGCCTGTATCAGTTCCTCCTGCCCCGCGTGGCACAGGGCCTTGTATCTGCCATGTAACAAGAGACCCCGAAGTCACCACAGCCTCCCGGCGTGTTATTCCGTGTCCATGTCAACCCACTCACGCGTGGGGGGAGACCAGTCGTGCCCAGCTTTGCGTAGACACAGGCCCCTGCCTCCCGCCCAACGGTTGGGTACCTGGGACTTGAGGCAGCCTCTGCCAGGGCCCCTGGCACTGCTCAGCCCTGGGACCAGGACCACCAGGAGATGCCAGCCCAGAGGGTCCCAGCTTTATTAATGACAGAGAAAGCTCGTATGTACAGACACGGGGGTTCCCATCCAGCAGCAGGACCCGCAGGCAAGAAGGGGCCTCTCCAGGGACCCACCTGCCCGCAGCTGTGCCCGCGTTTAGGGGGAAGATACATTCACAAGAGCAGAGCAAGCAGGGACAGATGAGTATGAGCAGCACCCCCTGCCCACAGCCTCCCACCCCAGGCCCAGGCTCTGGGCTGGCCTGGGGACAAGACTGGGTCACTCCTTCCCCCTCTCAGGCCCCAATGTCTAGGGGAGGCAGGGGGCACTGGCCTGCAGTGAGGTAGGGGGAGCGGGGAGGGAGGGCAGCTACAGTTCTGGGTCCCCTGCAAGGGGTGGGAGGCTCAGTCCACGTCACCCACCAGCTGGGCAGGGATAAGCTGTGGGTTGTACCCCCAGACCCTGCACTGAAGCAGGTCCTGGATGCCTGGGCATGGGAGGGCACAGCGGGCAGAGGGGATGGGCCCAGAGCCCTGTCTCTTTGGCCAGCAAGGGGGGAGCCCAGAGGCTCTGACCCCTCCAGGGAGCAGCACAGGGGGCCCAGGCAGGGAAGCTCCCCTGGCCCCCAGCACAGGACAGCCAGCTGGGGCCAGACCCAGATGTGCACCCACCCGGCAGGGCTCGGGGCAGAGGGAACCTCACCCCAGGGCAAGGAGCCAGAGCCCCTCTGAGGAGGGGAAGCCATCCTGCAGGGCAGGCCAGCACACACACAACACCATGGGGCAGGGGGGCTCGGGACATGCCCTGCTGGAAGCCGGGAGCGGTCAGACCCCTGGCCCCAGACAGCCCCGGCCCCAGCGGTGGGAGGTGCGAGGGGGCCTAGCCACTGAGCGGATGCAGGTCTACTTTGACCTTCTCGCCGCTGCTGAGCATGCCAATGGTGGGGAAGAACCCGCCGCCAGGCACCACGGCCTCCTTCTTCCCAATGATCTTCCCATTGCGGGTGAAGAACACCTGGGGGACAGAATTCGAAATGTCATCTGGCTGCCACTGTGCCCCGCCATCCCTTCGGCCCAGGTGGGCCCTGTGTGCACTGGGGGCAGCCTGCAGTGCACTGCAGCATTCAGCCCCGTGCTGCAGGGATTGGAGCCTGCAGGACAGAGCCGAGGGGACTGCGTTGTGGGGCAGCCAGGTACAGGGCTCAGCTCAGGGCACTGAAGAGAATTGGAGGGGCCCCTGAGGTGCCAGCCAGTGACTGGGGTCCTGGGGCACCAGGCAGGGGAGGCCACAGCCTCCTTGCTGCAAGCTGAGGGGGTGCAGGCAAGCGGCTGCAGACAGCCACCAGGGGGCACTGCAGGCCAAGACAACTGGGCAGTGCCAGCAGTGCCCCTGGCACCAACACCCCCGAGGTGCTGTGGCACCTGCCAGTCAGCCCCAGGGGACCTGCGGCAGGGGGAAGGGGCCAGGGGCTCCAGGACGGTACTGACCAGCCAGCTCAGAGGGGCAGGGGCTGGCAGAGTGGCCCAGGTACTCACCACCACTTTCTTGCCCTCATGCTCCTGCTCCATGTCCTCCCCATCGTCTTCCTCATCCTCCTCGTCTTCGTCGGGCTCGTGGGGCAGGTAGAGCACGTTGCGCACGCCCCGCGGCCGGGCACGCACCTCTGGCGTCTCACAGCTGTCATCACTGTCACCTGCACCGGGACCAGAACCTGCGTCACCCCGTGCCAGGCCCTCAGAGGGGCAAGGGGGCTCGGGGAACTGCTCCCCAACCACCTCTGGTGACTGTGCTGCACAGACCCAGCTCCAGGTATGGGGGAGGGAGTGTGGTAGGGGGCCCACACGTGAGCACAGGGGCATTGGTGCAGCTGAGAGGTCGTGCCCCAGGTGCAGCAGCCCCTCCCATCCATCATGATCCTCCCAACACGGACACACAGGTGGGCGCAGGGGCCTGGCGAAAGCTGGGCAGAGCAGACCCTACCCCCCGTGCCCTACCTTCGCTGTCCAGGATATAGTCCCGCGGGAACATGATGCCACAGCCCATGATGTCGCCCTTGTAGCAGCGGGGCCCGAAGGGGTCACCCACGCCACTCCCGTGGAAGATCTTCCCATCATCTGTGGAGGGAGCAAAGCAGAGCAGAGCTAGGACGCATGGGGCCGAGGGCTCCCAGCAGTGGCAGCTGAAGCTGGGTGCATGGGAGCAGGGCAGGGCCACAGAGCTGACACTCCCAGCTCTGGGGCCAGGCGACACGGTGTGAAGGGGAAGGGCTAGGAGGTGTCAGTGACCAGGGGAGGGCTGGGTTGAGGTGAGAAGCGGGTCCCTGCAACCTTGCATGCTGTCACACGCTGCCTCCCCACTGGGGGCGCTGCTGCCCGGCCCCATGGCCCAGCTGTGGCAGCAGCACCCCAGAGGATGCACCCCGACTGAACCTTCCCTCCCACCCTGACTGCCCCTACCACAACCCCCCTCCACGCCAGGGGTCTCCAGCACCCAGGGAGTCAGGGCCATGGGTTGGTGCTGGCTGCAGCCCGAGCAAGAGGCATGGGGCAGCCCAGGGAAGAGGCACGTGGCCTGGGCTGAGCACGGGGAGGCTCTGAATCCCTGAGAACAAGGGAGATGCACTGGGTGACAGGACAGTAAATATTTCTCCCTGTTGCCAGGGCGATCCACACTGGGACTAATTCTGCGTAAACAGTTCAGTGCGGGGGCTGGCAGATGGACAGCCCCCATGCCTCAGCTTGCTGCCAGGCCATGTGTGGAGGGAGAAGGTGGCGCCAGACCAGGCCTGGGGGGCCACAGGGCAAGGACCCCAGAGCTCCCCCTTCCTGCCAGGGGAATCCAGTCAATGCAGAAACCCAGCAGGGTCCTCTCCGTCCTGGTCATGCGTCACACCATCACGTGGTGGGGACGTGGCCCAGACCCCTGCTGCCTCCTGACCCCTCCGTGAGGAAGTCTGGGGATCCCCAGGGCCAGCAGCCCTGGATGAAGATGCTCATGTTGGGAGTGTCCCTGCCAGGGCCCTGGGGCCAGGGGATGGTTCTGGGGAGGAGCAGGCAAGTGCTGGCTGCTGCGCATGTCTTGGAGCAGAGGAAGAAAGTTCCCCTGGCTCCGCATGTGGAAAGAACCGGCGTGGCTGAGCTGGGAGCACTTTGCCCCCAGGGGTGGGGACAGGGACTGCTCGTGCTATCCCCTGGCTGAGCTCCTGGTGACTGCAGCAAGCTCCTGTCAGCTCCAGGCAGGGCAGCCAGGCCGAAACAATGCTCTCCTGCTCCAGGGGGCCAGGACACAGGCACAGGGCATGCTCAAGACATGGCCTCTTGTAGGCAAGCAGTGTTTCTGTCCCAGGCCTCAGCAGTCATGGGGTCATGGGTTGTAGCCCTGGCTAGGGGGGGGTCCCCGAGGCAAGGCCCACCTCACTCTGAGCCTCAGTTTCCGCTCCTGTCTGCATGCTCACACTGGAACATGGTAGCACCAAGCCCCGGGGACCTCCCAGTCCAGCCCTGCTCCTACTGCCCTCAGACATCTGCAAGGGTCCCCCTGGCGGGCCCACAGAGGGGCAGCCCTGGTGGTTACCTGCATGATAGGCCACGGATCCACGGCTCCAGCCCGGGTGCCGGTTTTTCGGGTAGTCCTGGGGAGGAGAGGAGGAGGTGGATCTGGGACCTCACACTCCACAGACAGGCCCTGACCAGAGCTGCGGCAACGTGGGGAACCCCGGCTGGGCATGGGGGTCAGACACGGCCCCCCCACAGTGGGCACCGCTCTGGTGCCAAGTGCCTGCCCACTGCCAGTGGGAGGAGGGGGCCTGAAAGGGACTGCATGGACTCACTCATGTGGGCACGAGCAAGCCAGCACCTGGCCAGTGAGGGACCCGACTCACAACAGGTCAATCCTGTGAGGGCAGGGGGAGCATTACCTTGCGGGCCAGCCCCAGGGCAATGTAGCACTTCTCCCCGGGGTCCACGATCTCCACCTCGAAGTAGTGACTGCGGGTGCTGAGCGCGTGCCGGGCCTGGGCCAGGCCCACGTCAATGATGCTCTTGCCCTTGCCCACGTACTCCAGGAGCTGCCAGGGATGAGGAAGGCATTAGTGCTGACAGCAGGGGCAGCTGTTCGCCATCCCACCCACCATACCACCTTTCCTCCATTCCACCGCATAGTCAGATGTACCCACTTCTGCTCAGACCCAGCTGCCCCCCAGACCTGCACAGCAACCATCTGCCAGGGGCAGAGCAATGGGTTCTTGCTACCTCGCAGGCGTCTTTCCCCGGCTCTGATACATCACACAGGCTATGGACAACCTGCCCCAACTCCGCTCCTGCTAACAAGAGCCCTGGGCTGGGGGCAGCCTTCCCATCCCAAGAGAAGGGGCTGGGACAACCCTCATGGCCTGGCTGGATGGAAGGGCGGGGAGCCACGGGTCCTGCCCCCGGCAGGCGGATGTTTACGCGGCTCGGGACCGGGGCTGGGCAAGGACCCCATATCACGCGGCCAGCTCTGGCCGGCACCCGGCATTCCAGATCACTCTTCCTGCCGCGCCTGGACAGGCCCGCGCTCAGCTGCATGCGAACCAGCCCACTCCTCAGAGGGCCATGAAGGCGAGAGGCCCCCGCCCTGCTGTGCACCCATGCCCCAGCCAGGGGGAATCCAAGTGCAGGGAGCTGACGGACAGCAGGGGCTTGCAGGCTTTTGCTCACTATGCCACACAAGCCCCACAGCAAGGCTGGAGGAGGTGCTGGGCTTGGGCAGGAAGGGAACAAGCAGCACACACACCAGGCCAGGTCCCTGGCTGCCAAGGCAGTCTTGGGAGCTTGTGGAAAAGACCCCTGGGGCCTTGGAAGACAGGGCTCAGAGTCACATGTGCCTCTGCCATGTCCTGGCCTGTTGCAGGGGCTTCTCTCGCCCCAAGCTGGAGGCACACAGGTGCCAGCCTGAGGGCCCTGCCTCCCTCAGGCAGCCTGGGGCAGACCTAGGCACTGGGTCCTTTGTGGACATCATCCTGGAAGTGCCCAGCTCCTTTTTTCAATCAGCATCTTAAGGGCAACAGCCGGATCAGAGGCTCTGAGCAGCAGCTCAGCTCCTGGCTCACATAGGCATTGCCAGTGACCCCCCCCTTCCAGAGCTGCACAGCACCCACCCCTCCACCTACTCCTCCCAGCCTTCCCCAGGCAGGATGGGGGAGAAAAGGGTGCCTCGCACCCACCCCACCAGCTCCTTGCAGCCGGGATTACCGAGCTGGCAGCTAGGTGTGGAAAAACCCTGAGCCGACCGCGTCATCTCTGGCCAGGCCGCATGCAGAGAAGGGCCCAGGGCGCTGGCAGCTCCAATACCAGGAATGCCAAGACAGCCCACGCTTGGGAACAGCCAGACGTTTCCCTTCTGTGCGTGTTGGAGCCCCCCTGCCGCTGCCCCCGCACCGACACCCCCATGCAGCCCAGCAGAAAGGGGCCTGAACGCGAAGCGCCTGGGAGAGGAATGCGAGTTATGTGCACTATCATTTCCTGCCCGTCTGGAGCAGAGCGGAAAGGCCGCCGGGAGGGTAGATTCCAGCACCGGCAAAGCCATTGGGTACCGGGGCGGAGGGCAGGCAAGAGGGAGAGACTGGCTGGCACTGTCTGGTGCCTCAGTTTCCCCTAATGGAACCTAGAGGAATGACACCCCCACCTCAGGCCCCACAGGACCCTCACAGGGCTCTGTATTCTCCGTGATGCAAGGAGGGAGTGTCACACATGGCCAAGCAGATGCCACAGAAAGCCACTGCACCCAGTCACCTGTCTGAGGCCCCAGCTGACCAAGAGGCCCCGACACCCCTCCCACCCCAGGGCCAGCTCCTTTAGGAACCAGACCGGGCACTCAGAAGTGAAAAGTGTCAGCCTTGCTCTCACGCTTGGGTCAGGCTGCAGCGCATACGTGTACATGCACAAAGGGATCGAAGAGCAGTGCAGCCAGGTCTCTGGGCAGGGAGGAGATGCCAGGGCCCAAGCAGAGGCTGTGCACAGCAGGGAAAGGCAGAGCCAGCAGCGAGGGCTGCCACCGATACCAGGTGCATCCCATTTGGAAAGAAGGCCCCAGATTTTACCGTGAGGGCAAGGAGGTGGTATGTGCCACCTCCCCCCAGCCCAGAGAGGGACAGGGAAGGTCAGGACTCTTCCAGGCCAGGGGAGGATGGGAGGCAAGTTCCCTGGTGGTAAAAAATAGGGTTTTTAGGACTCCTGGGTTCTGCCCCAGCTCTAGGAGGGGAATGGAGCAGATGGGAGCCAGACTTCTGCTCTTGACTCCCCCAGGTCCTATCGGCTCACCTGGCTGCAGGACAGTGACCCTGGAGGGGAAGCACGAAGAGGGGTCTTAGCCAGAGCTCACTCCCTCAGCTCCGTGCCCTGGCCCTGCTGTGTGCAGGTCCCAGGCAGCCTCAGCGGGCACTGGCCTGGTAGATTTGGGAACGAATGCCAGAGCTCAAAGAAGAGCAGGGCCCCACAGCCATGAACACACCAGGCTCAGCCAATGCGTCTGGCCACAGCAGGCTACAATCGGACTGTGGCAGGGCTGGGAGCTGTGGAGCCAGAGGGGCCCTGGGAGCCAGGACTCCTGGGTTCTCAAGCCCTGGAAATCCCCATGCGTGATGTTACTCAGAGAATAAGACAGCCCAGAAGCGAGCAAGCGTCAGGCCCTGCCAGCACCCCCTGCTTCCCCAGCCCAAGGCGCAGCGTAGGGGTGAGCCTGCCCTGAGATGAGGCCGCATCTGCAGCCTGGATCTTGGCAGAAACAAGCCACCCCCAGCTAGTGATCGGGGCCAAGGCTGCAGCCAGCGCCTCCTTCGAAAGCTGCAGGCCTCTTCCCTTGCCAGGGCACCCAAAGCAATGCTGGGGCGGGGTCATCAGAGCCAGCTGGAACAATGCCATGTCCGAAATGCCCAAGCCATCAGGGCAAGACCTGCCCCTGCTCCCACCTGGCCAGGAACAGCTCAGTGCCTGCCCGGACAGCTGTGCCACCTCTGGAGGGCGCAGCCTCCCCTTAGCAGTGAGGAACCCAGGTGTCCGTCTAAGCCACCAGTTTCCAGGTCAGCAGGGACAGGCAGCACCATTTCACTGTCCCCTCAGCTCCCCCGTCTGTGCATCTCCCCATCCCTCCACCCCACTCACCGTGCCGCAGACCTTGACATCATGCAGTCGCCCCCATTCGTCCTCATAACTGTCCACCATCATGATGCTGTCATCTTCCTCGGTGCCCAGCTCAGCGTGCAGGTGGAGCCGAACCTCCTCCCCCAGCGAGTGCATGCCCACGGCAGGGAACAGCCCATCTGGGGACAGCGGCAGGATGGTGGAGCCCACCTGTGGGCAGAGCCACCCAAGGGCTCTGTAAGGGTCTCAGCTAGCCGTGAGATCATCAGCTGAGCCAGCTGATCAACTCAGCCCCCCCAACCCACCCCACAAGCCTTCTCCAACACCCACAGGGCTGAGGGAAGACCTTTGCTCTGCACCCCCCACCCCACCTCGCTCCCGAGAACCACAGACGCATCTCTCCCTGATGCTCTCACCCTCTTGCCATTCTTGGTGAAGAAGATCTGGGCCGTCTGCACCTCGAAGGACACTGGCTCGATGCCACAGCCAATGCGGTCCCCAGAGCTGCACTTTGTCCCAAACTGCCGGCCCTTGGCTCGCCCATTGTACAGCCTGCGGGGGCAGACGGCAGGTGTGAGCATGGGGGAAATCCAGGATGGGATATAGAGGTTGGGGCCCTGGGGGGTGCAAAAGGGCACCATTCAGCAGAGCAAAGGCCTGGGGGCAAATCATGGGTCTGAATCTGAGTGGACACTGTCTAGCCCAGCGATTCCCAAAGGCCGTGTCAGGACACACTTGATCAGTACCAGATCTGGCCTGCGGAGCCACGTCACCTGGCCTGCAGGGCTCCCACGGGGCCAGAAACTTGGCAATGAAGGAACGGTGGTGATTATCACTGGTATTTTTTCCCTGCCACCAAGTTTCCAAGCTCCGCCTGGAGGGATCGGGCCTCGGCTGCACCCGCCCTATACAAAGGAATCAAGCCCAAAGACTAGACCTAGCTACAGGCCAACTACCTCGAGCCTGCAGGGCCAAAAAGGTTGGGCACCACTGCACAAGTCACGCACACACACACACGGGAAGTGTGCTGCTAACTTCAAACCAGGAAAAAAAAAAAAAAAAAAAGAGAGCATGCCCCAGGTACCAAAGGTTTGGGAAACACCAATCTAGCCCCTTACAGCAGTGCCTGATGCCCCACAATCTCCACTCTGAAGTAACCGGAGATGCTGATATACGCGACTAACGACCAGCAAAGCTGAAGCAACTTGACCCGGGTCTGGGACAGGACAGAGCCTGCAGCCAGGTCTACCAGCTCCCAAGCCGGTGCTCTGCATGCCCCTCCCCTCTGAGCATGTGGCAAGTGGGGCCAAGCAGACCCCAGCCAAGGAGATGGGCCTAGAGGATAGAGACCTCGCTGTGGCTGGGGTGGAAAAGAGGGAGCAGCAAGGGCCCTGCAAAGTGCCAGAACCCACCCAAGAATCGTGGGTGGGCAATGCCAGAGGCAGCAGGAAAAGAGCCAAAAGGAAGGTGGAGATCCAGCCAGGCGGGGCAGCAGGAGGGGATGTTGCCATGTGAAGGGGCTCAGGGGAGACCAAAGGGGATGCACGTGCTCCCTCCCACTCCCTGAGCCAGGAAAGAGGGCAGCTCCCAACTCACTTGCCATCATCGGCGTGGTAGGCCACGGAGTCCGGCAGCCACCCCGGCTGGTGGTCCAGGCTGTAATATTGTGGCACAAGGCCCACAGCAATGGTGCCCCGCACACCGCTGTCCACAATTGACACCTGTGGGGGGCAAAGAGAATGATGGGAAGCTGGGGGACTGCAGCGTGCTGCACAGACCAGGCCTAGCCACGCCAGGGAGCAAAACAACCAGGCAGGACCTTGACCACAGAGTTAGATCTTTTCTTTTGGGTCCAGGGTCACACTGATCACATCACTCCCTCACCTGCCACTGGCTAACGAAGCTGGGCTTCCATCCTTTGACACACTCACCCCTCCCCCCCCCCCCCTGCCACTGGCTACCGAGGCTGGCCTGCCATCCTTGAACGGGCCTTAAAGGCTGGGCTCAGGTGACCTCTGACCTCCCAGGCTGGCTAGCAGAGGAAGACAGGACTAGAGGGTGCTGGTGTAGAGCCAGACGCGCTCAATTTATGTTTTATGTTGGAACAAGGAGGTGGGAACTGACCAAGACTCCCTGCTAGGGACACAAAGAGGATCAGACCATACTTGGGCGTGGGAACCCCCCGGCCAGCTGTAAAGTCAAGCAAGCAGAGCCTAGGGCACAGTGTGCTGTATCAGTGGAAGAGGAGGGGGAAGGTGTTGCCCAGGGAGCAAGAGAGCCAACTCAGGCACAGGGAGCTTTCACAGTTACCTCAAAGTAGTTGTTGTCTTTGGTCAGCGGCCGGGGGGCCACGTAGCAGCCGACTTCGCCGGAGTTCCCATGATAACTGCAGGAGAAGAAACAGGCCTCAGGCCCCGTTGCACGGTCATCGCAGGAGGGAGGGGCGGGACTGGATAGCAGACCCCTGCCCCCCCAGCAGCTGGAGGTGCCCACAACACCCAGCTGCCCCCGTACCCAAATGAGGAGGTTGTTAGCTACCCCCTGGCCCAGGTGGCCCCGGTACCAGGCCTGGAGTTACCTCAATGTGTCGCCATCCACGAGGATGTGCTTGAAGCGCTCCTGGTAGCGGATGGCCCGCACCTCCCGGATCTCCCGGATCCGCCGCCTCCAGTTCAGGAACCGGTAGTGCAGGTTCAGGTCATCCATCGCAGCTGAGAGAGTCGAGCTGGGGACAGGAGGGAGCAGTCACCCCTGTGTGGCTGGGGTCTCACTCTGAGATACAGGCTCATAACGCACCCCCATGGCATGACCCGGATCCCCACAGGGCCCAGCACGTTGAGCCATGCATCCATGCTACAGCAGCCATCCTCCATCCTGTGCCTAATAACGTGCTGTCAGGATGGTGGCATTACCCTGGGAGCAGGGTTCAGAGGCAGACACGTCCTGCTATTCTCCCAAGACCCAGGATGGTGAAGGAATGCGAGCCCAGTCCAAAAGTACCGTACCAACCCCACTCAGATCTGATACCTCCTAGAGGAATTAGTGAAATGGCTACTTGCTACTGCTGTGCTATGGGTGCCCAGGCAAGTTTCAGGCCCTGCTCCAGTCTCTAGCTCAGGACCCAGGAGTCCTGACTCTAGCCACAGCTCTAGCTAGGAGACAACACCTCTGTAGCACCCACTTAAGCAGAGATCCCTAGAGACAGCGTCCGCACGGCAGGAACAAAGTATGGTCCAGAGGGTCAGCTGAATGCCGAAGCCATTTCCCTGCACTATCCAACATAACCCCTGCCAGGGAAACTTGGACTGGGGCAGCCTGGAAACGGATGAACTGCAACATCCAGAAGCAAAGAGAAGCAGCAGGTGGTTACACCACCCACAAGCCTGACGGAGGGCTCTCCCCCTCTAGCTGCTGCTGGGTGGGTTGGATCGAGCCTAGCACCCAGCCCCAAGCGGCCTCACACACGAGGTCAAACTCAGCACAACCCAAAGGCAAGACCTCCTGCTTCCTGGAAACCGTCACTCTCCAAAGCTGAGCAGCCAAAAAGGGCTCGGCCGGAAACGCTGCGCCAGTCCAAGCTGCTCTGTCCCTAAATAAGAGGGAACCCCGCGTCTCGCTCTTCTGGCGGGCGGAGAAGCTTCCAAACGCGGCCTGCACAG